CACCCTTTAAAAAAAAAAAAAAAAAAAAAAAGAGAGAGAGAGAGAAGGTAATAGTAAGAAGCCCATAGGAAAAGTAGTTTTGAGAATATAGTTCTTGTTTTGTTTTATTTTGAGACAGGATCTCCCACTGTAGTTCAGGCTGGCCTTGAACTCACTGTGTAGGCCAGACTGCTCAAATTTGCAGCAGAACTCCTGATTCAGCCTCCCAAATAGAGAATGTGATGATTTCTAAGGCATTGCTACTCAACAGAATTCATGGATTAGCAGCCCTGGCCTTGCTTAACACTTTAGGGACTGGGATATATCCAGTGGTAGAACACTTACCTAGTCATGGTTATGGGTTCAATCCCCAGCACCACCACCACCACCACCACCAAAAAAAAAATTTAGAAGCACAGATTCTGAGGCCCCATTTCAAACCTTCTGATTCAAAGTCATCTTAGCAAAGTTCCCAGATGATTGAGATCCATGTTAAATTTTTCGAAGCACTGTTCTGAGACACCATTGGCTGTCTACATTTACAAATTTACAAAAACTAGTCAGTACCATACTACTGTCTGGTATAATAGTGACAATTATTCATAGCTTTATGCATTTACCAATTTGCGTATACCCTGCTTCCACCTTCCCAAGGATGTGAGCCAGTTGTCCTTCAGCTAGATAAGACATCGACAAGGAGGAAGCAACTTAGGGAAAATGCTGCTTTTAAAAAGCCAGGTACATACTTGTAATCCCAGGCTGAAATAGAAGAATTGGAAATTTGAGGCCACCAGTGCCATTTAGCAACACCTTATCTCAAAATTTTAAAAAATTGGGGCCAGGGATTTAGCTCAGTGATGCCAACGCCTGCCTCACAAGTGCAAGGACCTGAATTCAATCCCAGGTACCAAAAAAAAAAACCCACAAACTTTTTTTTTTTTTAATTAACAGGGTTGGAGATGTAGCTTAGTGGTAATCATCTCTAGGTTCAATCCTCAGTACAAAAAAAAGAAAAGAAAAGTCAGTATGAATAGCTTCTAAGGTCTGCATGTAAATCGGCGATCTGATAAATGATACCACCTAGTGATGTTACAGCGTCTGAGTTTGTGGACATACACTCCATGATGTTCACACAGTTATGAAATCACCTAATGGTACATTCCTCAGAGTGCATCTCATTGTTAAGGGACATGTGACTGTACTTGAAAATTACTAAGAGATTAGATCTTAAATGTTCCTAACACAAAAAAAAAAAATGATGAGGGCCAGGGATGTAGCTCAGTGGTGCTGCGCCTGCTTGGTCCTGAGTTAAAGCGCTGTACCAAAAAAAAAACAAGGATGGATCTATAAGGGGCTAGACCTGTTAATTAGCTTTATTTAATCATTGCAATGTATACATATATCAAAATATCACATTGTGCACTGTAAATATAGCCATTGTATTTGTCAGTCATAATCTGGGGGAGGCACAGCAGGAAAGCCATGCAGGGATGAGCCCAGTGGCCAAGCAAGGCACATCGTGAGGCCCTTGGTGGTTGTGGAGATGAACTGCAAACCAACTCTGAGCTCCACAGCAAGCAAACAGCCACGAAAATGATTAGGCTCAAAAGATTGGGAACCAGCAGGGATAGGGTATAGCCTAGTGGTAGAGCACTTGCCTAGTATACAGCAAGCCTCTGTATTGATCCCCAGCACCAGAAATAAGGAAAGGAAGGCAGGAGGGAGTGGATGGAGGAAGGAAGGAGTTTGAAAAGCTGTGATCTGACAGATTGCATTGGTGAGAGAAGGCTTCAGTCCCACTAGAGGGACCCTATATGAGGGGGACTTCACCCCGGTTCCCCATGAGCACAATTTTACAAATAGTGTTAGTGCCATGTCTCACAGCTTCCCCTCCACCCAGGGTACAAAGCCAGTGTGCAGTGTAGGGAGGGCCTCTGGTCCTAACAGCAGGTTTGGCAGGTGGCCCTCAGGTCTCCTTTATCCAGAGACTGGAAGGAACAGGTGCTGATCCATTAGTTTAGAGCCAAACATCTAAGTAAGTCTTCTAAAACCAAGTGAAACTCAAACATGCCAAGCAAAAAAATTCTGCCACCAACAATCCTGGACTGGCCAGGGACGTAGCTCAGCAGCACAGTGCCTACGTGGCAAGCGTTAGGCCCCGAGTTCAATTCCTGGTACCAAAAAAAAAAAAAAAAAGCTTGGCCTATACA